AATGGATTATAAATATACTTAATTATGATGAAAACAAACAAAGATGGCTTGAATAAATACAGATAAACTATACATTGTCGCAGTCGAGTGTTTATAGTCTTTGTTTTTTCCATTCAAAACATTTATATCTTCTGTTTACTCAAGTTACAATGATTGCCTTTGTCCATATTAGGGATTTCCTGAGTTCTATTCCTTCTGTGATGCACGTGGAGTTTCTGCGCGAGGGCGCCCTCTGGCGTCCAGGTGAATGAAACGGACATTAAATGTGTTTATAGCCAACCCATCCTATTTTGGGTAATTTTTTTTTCTTAAGTATCGGTTCAGACACCGGTACTGTTTTAAAAAGTATCGATTTGGCAGCGGTATCGTAAAAAAAAAAAAAAAAACGATACCCAACCCTATATATCAATATATTTTTTTATAAGCGATATGGTATGAGGCAATACCGCCTATATTGATATACAGTAGTTTGATACGAGCGCATGTGAATAATAGCAGAGGACATAGAGTGAACTGCTGGAGGGAAAGGGCATAATCCAATTTTTCCTAAACATGAGACATGCTTTATATTAAGGGCTTTAAAATAACTGGTAAGATATAGTTAACACGTATGGTTTAAAGCGGCTCAATCCAGTCAGATGCTCTGACAGACACATGTGCTGCTGACAGAGACGTTACTTGCGGGGTTTAATGCGTTTGAGATGTGCTATTTTTCTCAGTTCATAACTTAAATTTCACAGGTATATTCTCCATCTGTAAATGTTAGAAAGTCATGGAAATATTTCCAATTTCCTGTCAGGAGTGCACCAGCCTAGTGCATGCGATTCTCCGCTAAACTTCACAGATTTCAGTGAAGGAATGCCACCAACGTTTACCATCCAACCTGACAGAACTGGAGAGGATCTGCAAGGAGGAATGGCAGAGGACCCCCAAATCCAGGTGTGGGTTCTTGTGTGCAGTGGAATCCAGGTGTGAAAAACTTGTTGCATCTTTCCCAAAAAGACTCATGGCTGTATTAGATCAAAAGGGTGCTTCTACTAAATAGTGAGCAAAGGGTCTGAATACTTAGGACCATGTGATATTTCAGTTTTTCTTTTTTAATAAATCTGCAAAAATGTCAACAATTCTGTGTTTTTCTGTCAATATGGGGTGCTGTGTGTACATTAATGAGGAAAAAAATTAACTTAAATGATTTTAGCAAATGGCTGCAATATAACAAAGAGTGAAAAATTTAAGGGGGTCTGAATACTTTCCGTACCCACTGTATATATATATATAAATAAAAAATATATATTTATTTATTTATTTAATCCAAATAGAATGTAGAAAATACAGAGATTTATACCGTATATCACAATTCCGCCAAAATATACAGAGATATCATTTTTTTGGCCATATCGCCCAGCCCTACTTTGTATTGAATTGCACTAGACTGTTTCTCAATCAAAGAAGGGCAGGGTCAAATTGAGACTGAGAACAGGCATGCTCCAACCAAACTGATTTATTGTGACATTCAGTTTATGTTCCTGTGGGCAAATTGGTCACAGAATAAGCAATATACACGCACCTCAGCAAGTCGTGCAAACTTCCTCTCAGGTATAACAGGTCGCCTCCACAGGTTGTTAATATTAATGTCGGTTGGAGGTGGAGACATAGGGCGCTCAAGATTATCGTCATAGCTGAGAGCTCGACGGGTCATCCCGACAGGGATGGACATCCCTCCGAGGAGTCCCTCTGAAGCACCTGGACCTGCTTCCAGGGCTGAGGCAAAAGAGCAAAGTACTCTGTCAACAACATCTGAACAAACAGCTACTTCAAAGAGCCACAATTTAATGCATTTAAAGAGAGGAACTGTTGTCATATCCTGTCTCTTAAAGTTATTAAAAATGAAAGTTAAAGTATGTTAAAACCCTTGACGAGCCTTCAAAAATTTCATTTTAGGCACTGCACTATAAAATAAACAGGCCTCTCTCCTTTACCTGGAAGGTCTCCAGGTCTGGACACCATGGCTACTAAATGAAGCGTTTCTGTTGGACCAAAAAGAGAAGACAGCCCGGACAAACCCAATCAGATGGAACTGGATCAAATCTACAGATGAAATTAAAGAAAGGAAAAAGTAACATATTAACCAAGCAATATTTGAGTTTAAGGCCAAAGAACCATCAAACAGCCTCAGAATAATAATGAAAGAGACTGCAATCTCTGGTATGACGTCCAACTGACCCTCTGCATTATTGTGCAAAGGACCACACAACATCACCAATTATAGAAAGACTGAAAGAATGGCTGAAATTCAAAGATCCCTGATATTTTTGGAAGAACATATTTACACCTAGGGCTGGCTGATAAATCAACATAAATATTTATCAGAAAAAATAAATGCACAATATCGATGATAAACTTAATCCAATATTCCTAATCTAGCCTAGTACCTCTAAACAATCAGGTGCATGATGCTAAAATATCTGCATAACATGTATGTTCAGTGTTCTTCTGGGTCAATGAGCGCTACAGTTCATCTACTCATCTACTCATCTACTGCACATACTCAATCACATGTGATGGCATACTGTATGATGAAATTTGTATGAGGGTCAAAGATTAGTAAATATTTAAAAATGACAATAAATTTGTTTTTGGGTGCTGCACTGTGATCCTTACATAGTCTTTTAAAGGAACACGCCACTATTTTGAAAATAGGCTCATTTTCCATCTTCCCTGGAGTTAAACAGTTGAGTTTCACCGTTTTCGAATCCATTCAGCCGATCTCTGGGTCTGGCGGTATCACTTTTAGCTGCAGCTTAGCATAGATCATTGAATCGGATTAGACCGTTAGCATCTCGATCAAAAATGACCAAAGAGTTTTGATATTTTTCCTATTTAAAACTTGACTCTTCTGTAGTTACATCATGTACCAAGACCAACGGAAAATGAAAAGTTGCAATTTTCTAGGACGATATGGCTAGGAACTATACTCTGTAATAATCGAGGAACTTTGCTGCCGTACTATGGGTGCAGCAGGCGCAATGATATTACACAGTACCTGAAAACAGTCCCCAGCTAGGTAACTTCCAATAAGCTTATTTTCAGGCGCTGCGTAATATCATCGAGATGCTAACGGTCTAATCAGATTCAATGATCTATGCTAAGCTGCAGTTAAAAGTGCTATGGCCAGATCCGAAGATCGGTAAAACGGTAAAACTCAACTGTTTAACTCTAGGGGAGTTGGAAAATGAGCCTATTTTCAAAAATAGTGGCGTGTTCCTTTAATGTCATCTAATGTTTCTTGTTCTAAATATACCTGACATGATTTTTTGATGTACAAATTATTGTTACACTGAATTGCATTTTTGTTCTGGTAAGATCATGGTAAAAATGTATGATAGTCATTATTTTTTGCTCAAATTAATTTTTTTAATTAAACAGGACACATTCTAATGTACGGGGAGAAAAAAATCCCCAAAACTTTATTAAATGGTTATTGTTTTGATGCTCAAAAACCACGTTTCATCTTTGACCTGTGAGCATCTCATATAAAGACACTCCAAATGAATTTCACCTCCAGAGCTGCTATGAATTCACTTTACAAGAATTTCACCATTTTATTTGATTAAAAATATTGACAAAAACATGCAAAGTCAACAACAATACTTCATAAGTAGTATTATTTTATCAGTACAATTTATTACAACATTACATTTATTATTATTATTATTAGTGTTGTTGTAGCTTGCATATTATTATAAAGAATATCATAAAAATATTTTAATTAAATGTTTTAATTTATACAGTAAAATAATTCAGTTGTACAGCACCCTATTTGACAAAAATAAAAATGATATTTTTTTATGCACATTAATTCTATAAAAAAATTAAATTGTTCAAGTTTTAAGAATTAATTTCTTTAGACACCCTTTTTAATAAGAAATGTAATAAAACAAGAATCCAGAAGAAAGAAAAAAAGGTTAGATTACTCTGTGGAGTTTACTTAAACTAGGTTAAGCTTGCATTCATTTCTGAGGTCTAACAAACATGTGGTATGCATGTCCTTGCCCATTTATGGTATGAGCAAAATATCATAATAAATATTGATATTGAATGACATGGAAAAAATATTGTGATAATATGTTTGTCCATATCGCCCAACCCTATTCACACCATTTCTAAAACATCCCCATGTGGTGTCCACCATTTAGCCTTATGTTCACTCTTACTAGGGCTGTGCAATATATCGAAATTATCGAAATATCGCAAATGTACATATCGCAATATGCATATCGCTATGTCTTGCAATATTTGGGGCCATGAACAAAAGACGAAGAGAAAATCACTCACTGCTCTTACCTAAATAACTTATGTAGCTTAAATAAGAATCAGTGCATATTGAATTCATAGAGTAAATATTAAGCAGTGTTGTATTTCTCCTTTTTATTATTCAGTTCCTAAACTACCATTCACTTTCAGAAGTTGTTGTAGGGGTGCTTTCTTCTCACAAAAAGTGAAACATGTATGCTAGTTATATTAGAATCAGAATGAGCTTTATTCACCACTTAAGTGTGGGCAAACACAAGGAATTTGTTGTGGTTTTACAGGAGCTCTTGATACATACATACAAACCATATATACTGTATATGACAAGATAGTTATAGAAGTTCACAGAACTGACTCAGCAACAGCTGAGTAAAACGGTTTCATCTGAGCATGTGGCACTTTAAGCATTATCATATCGCATTATTTAATGAGTTATCGCATATCGCACAGCCTAAACTCTTACCATGTCCAATATAACGACAGCCTATTTAAGACCCCATTTACATCTTTAGTATGTAGTTAGCGGTGACAAATATGATTGCCTTTGTATAAATCTGTCTGCTAAATTAATAAATGTAGATCATGTGGAGGCAATTTAAAGTAACTATGCAAGTATATCGGAGACATTATGCTATTTAAGCAATAATTTTTATAAACATTAATTTCAAGCTGGATGTATTTTATCTACACATTTGACACAAGTGTGTTTTATTAAAGGGGTCATATGATGCGATTTCAAGTTTTCCTTTCTCTTTGGAGTGTTACAAGCTGATTGTGCATAGATAAGATCCCTGAAGTTGCAAAGACTAAAGTCTCAAATCCAAAGAGATATTCTTTATAAAAGTTAAGACTCTGCCACGCCCTCCTAAAACGGCTCATTCTAACACGCCCCCACACATCTACCTCACTGTGTGGAAATATTTGCATAATGCGCCCAAATGTTCACGCAAAGAAAGAAGGCGTGGTTTCAGTAACCGCAGTTAGTGTTGAAGCAGCCATGTCAGGGAGACGCTGTGTGTTTCTAGGCGAAAGCAAAAGCACTTTATTTGGTCTTCCGAAAGTAGATGCATTTAGGAATCTTTAAGATTACTTACAACAGAACAGCAATGCATTTTATGGACGACCATTTCGTGAACCTAGGAGAGGAGGTAATTCTGACTTTGCTATGACAATCTGGCGCTTCTGAATCAGCTACTGTTTTGTTATTAGTTTAAGTATTTGCTATTGACGGTTCAAATGCGGAGTTTTGCGCATCGTGCAATTCTGTTACACCAAATACACAAAATAATGATCTTCAAAAAAGCATCATATGACCCCTTTAAATTAAATGCGACCATCACTTACCAGCGAAGGGCGGCCAAAGCACCACTGCTAAAGCACAGACTGATCTTGCCGACAAGCTGAGGTTTGTTCAGACAGCATTGTGGGACACCAGGAAGAGCACAGCCAGTAAAAGAGCTGGAGAAGAACCAAAACAGCCATTAAAACACAAGGAAGTTTTGACTGACTGCAAGATAAACCAGTTGAGTGAAAAGATACCACATGCCATACAAACTACAAATGCATCTGAACACGGTCTACAATGGCACTAAAGTGTTATTGAAGTAATAATAAAAGAGTGAGCAGTAGTGTCGTGAGAATCAGTGCATGCTGGGAATGGGATTACACCAGCTGTCCGTGTGATGTTATGTAATGCTGCTCACTTTCCCATTAACGTTACTGTGCTACGTCAAAAGCACAACACACAACAGCTCGCTTTTGGTATAAAACATTATTTCACTTAGATGTTTAAGTAGAAAAGGAACAATGAATCTTTTACTGAATACTACCACATATTTGAACAAATACGACGACAATTTTTAAATGATATGAAATGAGCGGACTAGCTGTTCAATCCAGTTTCGGCGACCTGAAACCGGTTTGAAGGAGGGATGCGCTCGCGAATCAATAGTTTTTTACCTGCTGCAGTGTTCCCGCGCCTCCTCTACAGTATCTAACAGTCCAGCAGAGGCACTGAGGGCACTTGAAACCTGAATAAATTACATATCGCAGATGTTTGAGAAGTGTTAACCTTTGTATCTACCATAACTTCCCTTTCTTCTTTCAGGTTTAATGGCGGTTGGCAACTCATCTCAAAGGTGCATTACCGCCACCTACTAGATTGGAGTGTGGGTATTAGACTGATATCAAAGGAGAGGTGGAGAGAGAGAGAGAGAAAAAAATCCCTATTAAATTATTTCACTTAACCCAGTGTTTTTCAAAAAATAACATTAATAATTTGTGTATTCTCCCAAATGCTTTCCCTAATAAATGCTCCAGTGTCATGCTTTGTTCATCCATTTGTGCCTTTAATTCTGCCCTATCTTCATATTTTTTGCAGTCTAACAGTATTTGCTTCACTGTCTCTTGTACATTACAATAAGTGCATAATCCAGTGGGATGTTTTCCTATTCTGTGCAATGTTGTATTTAAACCAGTGTGACCCATTCTAAGACGTGAGACTAACATCTGCTCCCTTGGGCTTCTGCTCTTCCTCATGCTTGTGACTACTTGATTTTGTATACTGTATAAATTACATCCTGTATCCGCTGTGTTCCAATATCCCTGCCATATTTTAAGTGAATGTTGCTTTATGATGGTTTTGACCTCTGCTCTACTTATTGGTACGTGTACATCTACTGTTTCATGCTTTGTAGGGTTTTTTGCTAGCAACCTGATCAAAAATGTAATTTATCATAATATTGAACAGTATGGGGCTGCAAACACTACCTTACTTCCCTTTCTTCTTCTTCTGGCTTTTTATGGCGATTGGCAAACAAACAAAAGGTGCATTCCCACCACCTACTGAGCTGGAGATAACCTTCCCTTTTCTTGGGGCTGCAGCTATGCGAGATAATTCACCCAAACATTGTTAATTATAGTTTACCCATCTTTGTGTGGTAGTAAACAGTCATAAAATCCCCCCAACACTGAAGAAAACCATAAATCCTTGAAAAAAATGTAGGCTATATTTTATTCCACCTGCATGAATATCTATAGTTCTCACTTCAAAGACAGTCTTTCAATTCTGCCGTCTTTCTGGTATATTGATAAAAAGCGTTAGATTGTTTCTGCTCTTTCCGTGTCAACTCTCCTCATCCCCCTGTTTTTCTGTGGCAGGACAGGGATGACAACAGCTGTTATGAAAAATGTTAATTTTAATTAGCAATACACAAACACAAACAATGGCACCAAACTCCACACAATTGGTGTGTGATTGTTCAATGATCAGTTTATTAGAAGCTTCAGTTTAGATTATTTATTTTAGCACATTAAAGTGTTTAAATCAAGAAAACAACACAAGGATCACAGTTTTATTTATTGCATTGTTGAATAGCCTATCTTTTAAATATTTAATGCTCTGTAAACTAGGGAACTGTTTTATGTTTTTATACCATAACTATGTGATTGCATAATTGTATAGAAATATATGCTCTTCGTTATTTTGTATATGCGTTATGATTTTTATTTCATGTGGTGTGTAACTAAGGTTTATGGGTGGGGTGGGGACGTTATGAACCATTCAAGCTCATGTGATTAGAGAGAATAACCACCCCATCCCCCCTGTGTTAATCAACTGTGTCACACCCCCACCCTACACAACACCCTTCATTCGAGGAGCTATAGGGTTCCTATACTGTAAAAATCAAGAAACACTGTAAAAATGTTTAATGTGAAATTACAGTAGTTGCAGCTGTAGAGGACATTATGCTAAACCATAATGTTCATTAACTTTTTTTCCATGGATCAATAACATTTTATAAATAATAGATTCCAAAAGTCATCAAGTTAATAGATTTTGTCTGGTCAACATTACAGCTAATGGAATAGACTACAAATTTTCTTAGAAGACTCATTGTCATTTTTAATATAATTGATGGAACAGGGGGATAAAACACACAGAATTCATACATAAAACACAGACATTTTATTAATTTAAAAAAGTGAAAATTTACAAGGTTGCTGAAAATTTACAAACAACAAAATTTCCTTTTCTCATATAGTGTAATATACCGTTTCTCTGAAATCATTACATACATAATAAGAATTTAAAGAAATGTCATATGCATAATAGAAAATAATTTACAAATTCGCATGCAACCATACTAATTACTCTTTTAACAGTAAGACGATCTTAAAATACTGAAACACCAAATCAAAGCAGAGAGAACAGGATTTTCTGGGTGTGTACAAACAGTCTAACATGATAACACTGCAGTTCTACATTGGCCTTTTGCCATAGTTCTGAATATCAAAATGATGTAGGTCAGATCTGTTGTTGAACAACGGTGATTCCTAACAAGGACATTTAATCATTTATCCTCCAGCCGGACTATCCAGTTCACTCTAAAGCTGATTTTTGTGCTTGCAAGCTGTTATACCATGCTCCATTTTATTTTAATTTGCAAAACAAGATCCAGAACACAAACACGATAGCCGTTTTCAACATGACTCATTTTGTCTTTGTTGTCAGAAGGTGGCAGTGAATTATTATAGCTTGCTTCCTTAGCCATTCTGTTGCGAAATACCTACCTCTATTAATGTGAATAAAGAAGCACTTGCTTGAGACATTATATAGAAATAACAGTTGGACATAATATCTCTGAACATTTCCGTGGTGGAAATGCATCCTAATCCTAGTTAGATTGTTTGCTGAACCTGTTTCCCAAAAAAATCTTGGAAATGTCATCAGATGTTTGATAATATTACAAGGAAGCATGACATATTCATTCTGCATCACAGTAGCTGCCTAATATGCAAATTTGTTCAAACCTGGGTCTTCCCAGTCAAATATAGTTGTGGACACATGCAGTGAGATTCTTATCTGTGAATATTATGCATTGCTGTATCCTTTAAACTACATATTATGCGAGTTTCGCATATTAGAACTGCAATTTTGATGATGCTTTTTATTTTTTAAACCTCACCAAACAATGTTAAAGGCATCCAACAATCAGTGTATTTATTGATCACGACTGGACATTACTGGACTGACTCAGTCATTATTGACATTCACTGTATCTCTACACTATGGTGTGGTATCGACACGGCACCATCTATAGCAGGGATCCACTTTCCTGCAGAGTTTAGCTCTAACCCTAATCAAACACACCTGAGCATGTTAATCAATGCTAAACAATGTCTTTGGGATCATTACAAAATCACAGGCAGGTGAATTCGATCAGGGTTGGAGCTAAACTCTGCAGCACATTGGCCCTCCAGGGCAAGATTTGAGGAACCCTGATCTATCCACCTTTTTCTTCAACGCGGAAGTAAGCCTATGGGTGAGACTTCCGGTTCATTAACCGCTATAGGTAAATAACGAGGAGAATAACAACGTGCAGTAAACGGTAAAACTGTTTGCACTACAAACCAGTGTGTTCATAATTTAAGATAATACATTAAAATAATATGATAAGACACACCAACTTTCAATATCAAGCAGCAAAACGAACTGTTTTGTTCAGCTAAAAATAGCTGGACGGAGTGGACGCAGATGAAACCGGAAGCCATACCCATATATTTTCCAAATGGCCGCGCCCATTTTTACGACAAGAAAAAGGTGGATAGGGTCACAAATTTAAAAATACATAAAAAATTTATATGCATATAAACCTGAAGTGCAAAGTCATAACTCCACAATAATCCACGTTACACTACGTGATATTCAACCTCACTGGAAAGAGATTTTCGCAGGCGTAGATTACTTCTCGGCAATGGCGGGCAGCATGCATGCGCGAATGCGGGCTTCCTTCCATGCGCTGCGGCATTCTGAGATCCAGTGGGACACTATAGTCTGTTTGTCCATGCAACGACTGCTCTTTCCCCTCCAACCAGCAGGGGTGCCGTCGAGCTTGTTGGGAGTGCAACTGCGTGCAGCCAGGCTGCCTTCATCCAGCTTCTTCCTGCTGAGCGGCGACCGCTGCAGGACCGTCACCGCAGGGACCGTCTCAGGCAGACAAAGCTCTGGGCAGCTGCTTTTCCGCTGGACATCAGGTGTCGAGGAACAGCATGGGAAGGTGTCGCTGCGTGGTCGGCGCGGGGGAATGCTGCCCCTTCTGGTGGAGTGCGCTAGCACACCTCTGTGGCTGTAGAGGTACTCCAGCGGATCTGCGGGGCCTGGGATGTCATCTCTGCATCCGTTGTCCTCCTCTGGGGCAGCCTGGGCCTGCAGCGGTTCTGATGGAGCAGATCTGGTGGTCTCTTTCTCTTTATGGGCTTGTTCAACAGTCTGGTCGCTGCTTGTGGAGGTGTGGGGCTGCGGATGCTGCAGATGCTGACGCAGGCGTTGCAGTCGTAGGCAGGGCTTTGGAGAATCCAAAGGGCCGATGGAGAGGATGTCACAATCGGGCTCATGCAGAGGAAAGGTGGGCCGGGCCAGATGGCAGATAGAAAGGAAGTAGTCTTGTGTGGTGGTGTGCTGGCTGTTGGTCTGGTTCAGGTCCTGCACCAGCTCTTCATAGCCCTCCCTGATGGTGGGAAGGCCGCGTTTAGCCAGTAATCTGGACCTGGGACGCATGACTGTAAAAGGGGAAATAGTGTGCCATTAAATAGATATGTAAATGATGAGAAAGAAAAATCATACCTAAGGTTTCTTGATAATTATTTTCAATAAGAGCCCTTTAGTTAACATTAACTATACAATGAGCAATACATTTTCTAAAGTATTAATTAACATTAGTTAGAAAACAATGTTAGTTCACATTAGCTCAAGTCCATTAAATTGTATTAACAGATACGACTTTTGACTTAATAATGTATTAGTAAATGTTAAAATTAATAAATGCTTTAGAAGTATTGTTAGGTCATGTTAACTAACATAGTTAACTAATATTAGCAAATGAAACCTTATTGCAAAGTGTTTCAGATTCTTAAATACATCAGTTGTTTAAGCAATGAGATTAAATGGAGAGTAAAATGGAGAGTGGTCTTAAAAATGTCTTAAAATGTGACCTCACATTAAGTCTCTTGATTATCAGACCTGTCTCCCTAGAAACAGAAAGGTTTTGTCCTTTTCATCTCAGCCCCTTAAAAATCAGCAATTAACTTGTTCAAAACATTAAAGTTTGTTACATTAAGTGTTATTCTTTCCTCAAATCAATTGCAGACCAGTCATAGGCAGCATACGCATACAGCAGCAATATTCAGCACGGAGCGCTGCCTCCACATATCGTGTCGTAGACCACTTCTCATCTCTCTGAAAACTGTTCCATTGAAATCACAAATAAAATGCAACAAATACACCACCATTACCATCACGGTACTGCTGACAAAAAGAACAGATGCAATTTATTAAAGTATATATTTAAAATATACAATATCTTTTAATTTTTAAATAAATATTATATAATATTGTTAATTATCATAATTTGCTATAAATTATCATTCATATATGTGATATGCTTAAGAATGGAATCACTCATGATATGTTAACTCAAATATTCCTCACCAAATTCAAGATCAAATGGTCTGGTCTATGGTATTAACATTACTATTATATATCCTCTTACTTTTTCTATTTCTCTTCAGGCATTTTAGACAATTTAAGTAGATTCATGAAACATAACTGAAACGCCATTCATTCTCCTGATCTAGGAAAGCGCAACCTCCGAACAAAACAGTTTTCTCCAGGGAACCGTAACAACACATATATTTGCAATTCGCAACCAGGATACAAAATTAATTGGTAACACTTTACCCATTAGTTAACACTAGTTAATGCATTAACTAACAATGAGCAATACATTTGTTACAGTATTTGTCTTTTTAAACATTAGTTAACAAAAATACAACGCCTAATTGTTCATGTTAACTTGGGTCCAATAAATAATATTAAAAATACAAATTTTAATTTTAAGAATGCACTAGTAAATGTTGAAATTAACATCATCTAAAATTAATAAATGCATTAAAACAGTTTTAAATTGTTAGCTCATGTTAACTAATGTAGTTAACTAATGTTAACAAATTGTAATGTTAACCTAATTATAAATTGTTACCAACAGACGCCAGAATACATATACTTTAACTCACAGACATCTAATCTTCTTTTGTTGGCTTTGACATTAATGACCCACATTATTGCTCCATTCATAATTAAACAGCATAATTTTTGGAGTTGTTATTACCTGCCCGATCATTCCTTATTGATGCACTGTACAGTAAATGCCAAAAATCAATGTATATAATGGGAGGGATTGGTTACAGGAATACGTGCAAGCCCAGTCTCCATGGCAACGCCTCTTCCCATCACATCCCAGGCTGTGCTCAGATTTCATAGCTATTGGAAAGCACAGACACACACACACACGCACACGGACACGCACACACACACGCACACACACACACACACACACACACACACACACCCACACACACCCACACCATGAACCAGCTCCTCCCTACGCCCCCACCGCCCCATGCCCAAATCATCTGAACACCCCTCTTTATTGTGGCAGACCAATGTATACAAACCAGCACCGATTCCCACCCTTCCCTACCTGATTCTTGCCACCTAAACCTGTTTGGATTTTCCCAGCCCTTGAATGCTCGTATGCCAATCTATGAAGGGAAAAAACACAATATACTTCAAGATCAAAGCAGGTCTGTCTAACACAACCGATTATGACGGACATCTGGCGTGGATGGCCATTTCTGACAACAATTGATGACATTCAAAGAATCTCTGGCCTTAATCCTCATGAATCAGAACCTAAAATATATTCATAATCTATTCTGAAAACAAAATTGGAACTGTGTTATATGTAAAGACCTGACATATGATGTAATCATCGTTCTGGTTTCTATTGAGGCCAGCAGTTTGTGTCGTGTCCCACCTGAGCGGGGTCTCTCCGTCTGCCTGGCTTTGCTGTTGTTCTCTTCTTCCTCCACTCCTCTTGTCTCGTCTCCTCTTCCTTGCTGCTGCCTCCGCTCCCTGCCTCAGCTCAGAGCCTCCAACTGCTGCTACACACACAAAAAAATAATGATTTTCTCCCCCGTCTCCCTCCCTCTCTCTTTCTCTCTTCTTGCCTGTTTGCTTGCTCGCCCTCTGCCGTGCACCTCACTCTCTCTCTCTCCTCCCTTGGTCAGTGCTAAAAATAGCACCTTCATTCCCATCCCTGTGGCTGTAAAGAATCATTTGCAAAATGGATTTTACTGATGTGGTGGGGAGAAAGAAAGAGGAAAGGGGAAGAAGTTGGTATGACAGTGTAAGGAAAAAGAGACAAGAGAAAAACACCCCCCAGATCTGTTATCATTTTCTGTGATTGATAGATAATAAACAGAATGAGATTGACACACTGATTAAATAAGTCTCAAAGTTAAGAACTCGATGGATATTGTTATTAAAAAATACATTTGTTAGCATTCTGTTTTCATTCCTGAAATCAAATCAGCAGTTTTATCGTTCATATATAATTTTTTCGGTAACCTGCATTGCTCTCTCATGGTTTTATTTATTTATTTATTTATTTTTAATAAGGAAATAAGTAAGTCAATTTATCTCTAGTTTTAGAGATATAACTCAATTTTTTGACCTTGGTTTACTGAATGTTGTTCTTATCTTAAGTGAAGAGAGTTGTTTGTACAGCTATATATAGCTCCATCTGCAGGTATGGCCCTCAAAGACCTTTTATCATGTTCACATTGCTGTCATTCAGTGGAAAGGGCAGTAAACTTGTAAGTGTCAATATAACAAACAACGCCACAGTATATGGTGCCTCAAATGTTTACAAGTGCGTATAGACTGAAAAATTCCACATATTCCATAGTAGTCTTTCTCAAGCCAAACTGACTGTATTTTCCTAGTAAATGCATATGCCTGTGAACCTACTGGATACACAGATTGAAATGTGACAAATTTATTGCGCCAAGTCATTTACCTGTTATTGTAGATTGTTGTTCTGTATATTCCACATTCGTTGGGTGAACTGTTGCTGTTATAGGATGATGCTGTCAACATAGACTTCATAAGAGGCAGACTGTCCTGTTTAAGCCACAAACATCATGTTCACTCTTAAAAAATGTTTGTCTGACAAGGAAGGGTGTGAGAAAAAGAGAGAGGGAGTGAAAGGGAGGGACGTGTCAAGAGGGAGGAAGTTGTTTCGAAGGTGGAGCAGTTTGGAAATCAGCACATTTACAGACCAGCCCTGTTAAATACTATATAATCCATTGCATTTATCTGACTTCTGGTCAGAGGTCAAATGAGAAGCTTTTCAGTCTGCTTGAATAAATTCACAGCACTCATGGCAGTGTTATTTTAGTATCATTGTGATACTATTAATATTTTGAATATATTTTTAGTTTTTATGTTTTCAGTTTTCATTTTAAATTCAGTTAAAGTTTGAGTAATCTGTTAACTATAATAACTCTGATCTCTATGAACGCATGCAATGCCCTCTTAAAGGGATACTCCACTCAAAAATGAAAATTCTCTACTCACCCTCATACCATCCTACATGTATATGACTTTCTTTCTTCAGATAAACACAAACAAAGACGTTTAGAAAAATGATCCATCTCTGAGTCCATATATGCAAGTGTACAAGTTAACATGAAAGTCATCTATAAATCCACAGTTGATGAATCCTCTGAAGGGAAATAATAGGTGTAAGAAAAAATACTAATATTTAAAATTGTTTTAACTAAAGCCATCACCTCAGGCCAAAAACCTAATATTTTCTAAAAATCTTTGTGTTCATCTGAAGAAAGAAATTCCATCTGGGATGGTGTGAAAGTGAGTAAAGGATAAGAGAATTTTCATTTTCAGGTGGATTTTCCCTTTAACCACCTATACTTTTAATTAATTACATTAATAAAGAAGTAGTGTTCAAACTGACTGCTTTCATAAACACAGAAAATCAAAACTTCATTGAAAACCGATGCCACTGGAAATCAGTGCCTCAAAAAAGACACCAACAGACAATGTTTTAGAGGAAGGTGAGTGAAATACAGATGAAAAGTCACATGAGTGGAGGCAGTGCTCTAATTGGCTGATCAATGCAATAATTCACACCTATTAGCAACTGCTCACAAATAATACGGTCTAAATTGGGCAAACCAATTCAGTTAAAAATGTACCCATTCGGAAATCACTACTCTAGGTCTTGTCCGCATCAAAATGAACTTGAAATGACTTGAAATAATGATCTGTGATATGTTTCATGACTTGAAATAATAATCTGTGTTTTTTTCAGTGAACACTCAGCTCAGTTAAATTAAAACTGCGCCTTCGTGCCCGTGACCACTTGTAAGTGTTTATGTGTGTGAGTATATCCAGAGGCTGTTTTGGAGGATATGAAATGAAAGACAAAAAGAGGAAGATGAGAGAAGGAGAATTAGAAAATGATAAACCCAATAACAAGAATAATAGTCAGAAAGACAAATGTACAGAATCTTCTTGCTAAGTAGGTCGACCTGAGTCAAATGAAAGAAGGACAAAATGAATGACAAGGGAATACAGTAGAAATATGGAGCTTTAAAATAAAGACTGTAATAGCACAGGCAGTGAGTGCAGAAAACCATGGCAACATGTGTGCCAATCATGCTAGGAATGAACTGCGTTGCTCTCAATGAACTGCAGTCACACCGAGCTGATTTATTCTCATACTCATCTAGCCATCTCGGGCTGACAGCAACTCAGCACTGAAGAGACTCACACGTTCCTTTTATTTCCAGCACAGAACTGAATCACGTATGATGATTGCTCCCATTTGCTCCAAGAGGCCAAGATCAGATTTAAAGCTAATTCATGTCATTTTCACTTTTAATATACTGTCTGCTTAATATGCAGTGACAACTGTAAAATATAATTTATTGTAGGTTATACAAAGCATCACCATAGCGCTATTAAAACATTACAGATGTATGAACATTGGGCCAACCGTGAGTTTAGGGGCGGGACTAGCTGTTTATTTGACTAATAATAAACATGGGAAATAGGAAACCTGTTTGAAACTGTCTGCTATTTCTTTTGGTGTCGCTAGTGGCTCAGAAATCTCCTCTTTGCACTTATTTTTGCTTTCTGAGCAAATTGGTGAACAGATTCACATTGTTTACCACCAATAAAATGTATTTTAGTTTTACAAAACAAATTATATAACAGTTCTTTCCTAGAAGAAAGTGTTTAAATGAATAATGTGTCATGTAATGTTATCAATGATCTGTTTGACCATCATAGCATACCTATATCATATCAAACACAAGCCCTTGATTCTTGAAATGGAGAGTTACCGGTATTTATTTTAATAATCACAATCTATTATGAACAATCTCTCAAAACAAACTTTGCAATAACCCATGTGTGATTAATAATATGGATTGGTTGTATGACTTAGCTTACCAATAGTTTTTAAATTACTGTTTTTAAAATATAAGCCTGAATTTAACATAAATGCATGTCCAAAAAAAAAAATCACTGTTTTGGCTCTGTGTTTGCAATTGCAAAGCATTATTTATTTTAACTTATATGTCAGACTCTGTTCCGTGTTTCGTGTGTGTTTTGCTCCCCCACGTGCTCCAGGTTATGTCCATGCCCATATTTGGTCCTTCCTGTTTCCTGTTACTATTATGTTTATTGATCATAGGTGAGGTGTTTCTCATCATGTCTTGTGTAGCTATTTAAGGTGTTTCCTGATGTGAGTTCTCTGTCCGGTTTTGAACGTCAATCCTCGTGTCCTACATGTGATTCCTGTGATGTCAATAAAGACGGTTAATCCTGATTCTCCAGCGTTCTCCTCGTTCCTCGCTCTTCACCATAGGTGCACCGTGACAGAAAACCGGACTGATACAGAAAAGAGAGCGGACCCCTTCTCCCCATTTTGTTTCCGTTTTGAAAAGTACGGTGGCAGAACAAATCACAATTCTGAAAACAAAATAACAAATTACAAACGCAAATGCAATTTTGAAAAACAAAATAACAATTCAGAAAACACAACAACAATTCAGAAAACATTATAACAAGTCAGAAAACACAAGGACAAATCTGAAAACAAATTAACAAGTCAGAAAACACAACGACAAATCAGACAAACCGGAAAAGGTAGGTATAGTTTGAGACAGCGCCATTGGTTTGAGATTACTCACCGCTGACTGGACGAGACATTTGTCAATCAACGTATACAGGAAGAACCAGCCGAAGAACAGCAGAGACGTGGTAGAAAGTTCGGAGATGGTATTAAAGTAGCTCAGTTTAAATGTATTGTATGAATTGCCCTTACTCTGGAATAAAAAATACGGAGTGTATATTTAGATTTAGTTAAAAGTGGTAGCAGAACATGAGCTCCAGTGGCGCAGATGGATAAGTGCTTGGCCTTGGCTTTTTGCCGCGATCGACCCCGCCTTTTACCAAACTTTTTTTCCCTCCCTTTTCAAATCTCGTATCACATCGTAAAGGCATTTATTTTCAATAAAAATTAAGGAAATAATCAAAAAGTTGAAAATAAAGTATGGGGTAGGGTTAGGGTAGGTGTAGGGAGGGCTTTATAATTTACAC